GGGGCCGCGCTCCGGTGGCAGCTCCGCGAAGCCCGGCGCCGGGCGGGACCGCGATCGGGGCTGGCCCCGCCCCTGGGGCCGCGATTTAAATATCCAGCGGGGTGGCCACACGGGCCGGGGCGGGGCCGGGGCGGGGCCGGGCGGGGCCATGCAAATGAGGCGGCTCTTAAAGCGCCAGGCCCGCAGGAGCGCGAGGGCACCCTGCGTCCCTTCCCCTGGCGCTCGGGGCGCTTTCCGGCCCCGCGCGTCTTGGAAGCCCAGCCCGCGCCCCCGGAGCTCTCCTGGCCCGGGCATTGGCGAGGTGATGGCTTCGTGGGCTCACGTCCTGTGGCGTGGGCCGTCCTCCTCCTCCGTGAGTCCCCAGCCGCCAGTCTTACCGGCCGAGCAGTTCTGGGACAGACCTGGAGGCCCGAGATGTTAGGCCTGGAGGGCAGGCTCCTTGGTGCCTCTTTAGGTCGCTGCCTGGCCACCCCTGCCAGAGTGTCATCAGTGGGGGGCCGCCCTGGCTGACCAGTGCCTGGCTGAACCTTTCTGGAAGTGGCCAGAGGCAGCCCCATGCTGCCCACCCCCAGCCCTGAGCCTGGGGACACGATTCCTGCGCAGGGGTGCGTGAGGCTTCCCGTCTAGTTTAATATGGCGATGACCCCTGGCCTGGGGAACCTCAGGGTGTTAAACAAAGTGTTTCTGCCCTGGAGGCTGCAGGGGTGTAAGGGAACCAACCTCACAGCAAGGTGATCTCGGCAGACTCCCGCGTGAAGCAGCCGAAAGCAGCTGTCAGTGGGAGAGACTGGTCCACAGGGTCCCTGGGTGGGAGTAAGACATCTGGAGCCCACAATTCAGATTCTCTGCCTGTGGCTGTCCCAGCCCTTCTCCTGCCTCTGGTACCGCTGACCACGGACATCACTGAGCATTTGTCCCCCCTCTTCAAGGGCCTGGCACCTGTCCACTCTGGCTCCTCAGGCCCAGTGTAGGGCCCAACTTCTAGGGCCTCAGTCCCTCTCTGCTCTCAGCATGCTGGTGTTGGGTGACAGTGACTGCAAGCCAAGCCTCGGGCCCCTGAAGACAAGGCGCATCCCCCAAAGATAAGCAGAAAGAGCAGAGCAGTCATGGCAGCCACCGCCGAGGTCCTCGGGGGGCTTTGCGGTTTTCTGTATTTTCTAAAATACATGCATTGTTTTGCAGTTAGAGCAAGGAGCATTCAGTGTGGTTTTTGAGAACTAGTGGCAGGGTCTCCATGTGGAGTGTGTGATTCTGGGGGCTACCGGTTTACACACATCCCTTTAGGTTGGAATCAGAGTCGGGCAAGAATTGAAAGAGACTGACCCTGCACTGGCACCACCCTGAGAGTAAGCACCCCTTAAATTTCACCCTAGTCCCACGCTGCTCAGCTGTGGGACGGCCAGGCCTAGGCCAGGCTCCTGGCACGGAGACCCCAGGACAGCAGAACAACAGTCGTTCTAAGATATGAAGGATAAGAAAGTTTAAGACCTCCCTGCCCCTTGGAGGGAAAAAGAGATGACGTCTAATTCCAGGGACTGTACTGGGAATAGAACCCCAACTTCACACGGTTTTCGGGAACCTGGGAAGGAAAGGCCCATCCTCACTCGCCCTTGTCCACTCACACACACATCCACACTCACACACTCGCATGCATTCACGCTCGCACGAGTGCGTCACACAGTCAGACATTCTCTCTCACACACATCTGTTCCCACATGCTTGCACATACAGATCGCAAACATCCATGCACACTCACTGACACACACTTGCTCACACCCACAGTGATTCTATCACATGCGCACAGTTCTCTCTCTCTCTCTCTCTCTC